CCACACACATAAATGTTGCTAGTTAGTACCAAGCCTCACACATAATATTGCTAGTTAGTAGCATGCCTCACACATAATATTGCTAGTTAGTACCATGCCTCACACATAATATTGCTAGTTAGTACCATGCCTCACATATAATATTGCTAGTTAGTAGCATGCTTTACACATAATGTTGCTAGTTAGTACCATGCCTCACACATACTATTGCTAGTTAGTAGCATGCCACACACATAATATTGTCAGTTAGTAGCATGCTTCACACATAATGTTGCTAGTTTGTACCGTAGCATGCCACACACATAATATTGCTAGTTAGTAGCATGCCTCACACATAATATTGCCAGTTAGTACCATGCCTCACACATAATATTGCTAGTTAGTACCATGCCTTAGACATGTTGCTAGTTAGTAGCATGTGTTGCTAGTTAGTAGCATGCCACACACATAATTTTCACCTTAAAACTCATGAATGTATTTAAATTTGTGGAGAAACTATCACTAAAATAAGGTTTAGATGAACCTCTGGTTTTCACTTGTATACCAGTTATATGTGTGGCATTCATTCAAGTAGTGCCCCTAGCGATGAAACAGTTACGTGACGTAATGGCGTAGGTGTGGGGATGAGTTTGTGAAATCATGGCATGTGTAATGACGTTCGAATAAATAACTTTATTTGCTTGTGTACTAGTAGTCGTTTATATTTTGAATGTAGAAAACCTCTAAAAACAGGACTTTGATTTATTGGCATTCACTACTTCTATTACTACCACAAAATGTTTTTGTTGTCCCTAGAGGGCGTTGACTACCTGTACTGTAAACTCCTCAGCGTGAACATTTTTTTTCTTCACAGAAACCGACCATACAGAACTAGTCCTTATTAACGTGGCTCTAACCAATAGTGGACACAAACAAGATTTTGAACATTTAAAGGCATTTATCAAAAACAATATTAATTTAAAATACATTGATCTCAGCTACACGGGACTAGAAAGTAGCCACATAAAGGACCTTCTACCGTTGGTGACACAACTCAAATCTCTGAACTACTTGGGGCTTCGCGGAAACCGACTTGACGAGGGAGATGTGAAGACCATGATAGAACTCTTACAAAACAAAGGCACTTTACCACACTTGAGATACATTGATTTAAAAAATAACGAAATGTACACTCTTCCGCAAACGTTTTTGCAACTACTGCGAGAAAGGTGGGCTGACCAATGTGTACTGCCAACGTTAGATGACATAGCGAGTGGAAACGCAGTCGTTGTCGACGAAAGTTTTGAATAAAAAAATATTATCATACAGACCAATGACGTGTTTATTTAGTTTGTATATCAAGTGTTGAATTTAATTAAAAAAAGTTGAATCATTATTATTCAAAAGACTGGGTTAATATAGTGTGTTCTTTGTCTGAAATTGAATTTGTCTTTGACATCAAACAAAAAAGAAACCCCACAGAGTTATTCGCCCAGAACCTCCAAATAAATTTCGCCCCCTAGCGACAAAGCG